AAAAAAAAAACACCAAACCAAAAAAAAATTACCATTGTTAATCTTTTTTTTTTTTTTTTTTTGTCTTTTTGAGACAGGATCTCCCTGCAGCAATACCTGGCCTGGACCTTGCCGTGTAGAGCAGGCTGGCCTCGAACTCACAGAGACCCACCTGCCTCTGCCTCCCCAGTGCTGGGACTAAAGGCCTGCACCTGGCTCAGGGCACTACAATATTATTGGCCTTTCCCATTCTCATTGCCTCGTGCATGTAAAGAATATGAACAGATTCTTTAGTATTCCTTAAGATTTCATATAGCTGCCAACTCTTAAGAAGTGACCACTTGGGTGCCTCCTTTCTCCGCTGGCCCCGCGGGCGCTCCTCCCTGGCTGCGGCGTTCCCGTCCCGCCTTCTGCTACAAGCCGGCGGCGCTGCTCACCGCCACACTCCTTCGCCATCTGGCATATTATAGCATTTGATTTACTGAAGACTGATTACAAGAATCGTATGGACCAGTGTAGTACCCTGAATCCTCTTGTACCTCCCGAGTACCTCATCTGTGCTTTCTTCCCTGCCATGTTTCCTTGTGCAGCAGAGTGGCTTACACTGGGTCTCAATAGGCCCCTTTTTGGCATATCATATTTGGAGGTATATGAGCAGACCAGTGATGAGCCGCCCAGGACTCTATAACCCGACAACCATCATGAACGCAGATACTCTAGCATACTGTCAGAAAGAAGGATGGTGCAAATTAGCTTTTTACCTTCTAGCGTTTTTTAACTACCTATTTGGCATGATCTATGTTTTGGTGAGCCCTTAGAACAGCACAGAAGGCTCTGTCCAGGTAAGTGCATGCAAAAAGCCACTAAATGAAAGGATTCTATCCAGCAAAGTCCTGTTTCCAAGAGTAGCCTATGGAATCTGACCAGTTACTTTAACAAATGACTCCTTGTTTTTAAATGTTTCCACATTTTTGCTTGTGGAAAGACTGTTTTCATATGTTATACTTGGATAAAGAATTTAAACGGAATTACGTGCAAATTAATATAAGATGATTACCTCTAGTGTTGACAGGTTGAACTTGCACTCCTTAAGGAACAGCCATAATCCTCTGAGTGATTGCATTAATTACTGACAGTCCTTAGTTCATCGGAAGCTTGGTTTATAGGAACTTGTAGGGCCCGTTTTGGTTTTATTGAAATGCTGTCTAAATATAAATTAGCTGTAGATAATCAGGTGCTTCTGGTGAACTGAAAATGTGTATCAGCCTTGTGGGAAACTTCATAGGTTTCCTCATTTATTACTGTAGATGATTATAATGGATACATTTACAAAATAAGAAGAGTGGGATTATTTCCCTGTGGACTTGAATATTATCCCTATATTGCATGAATGAGAGACTTCCCATATTTCCATCAGAGTAATATACTTGCTTTAATTCTTAAGCATAAGTGAACATAATACAAAAATATATGCTGAATTACCTGTAAAGAATGCATTTAAAGTTATTTTAAATGTGTTTTTATTTGTAAGACATTATATACTAAGAAAATGGTTATGCTTACTCTTCTAATCTGATGGTAAAGGTATTCTTAAGAATTTGCAAGTACATTAGATTTTCAAAACTTGAATGAGAGAACTGTGTGACCACCCTGCTGTTCCTTTAGTGCAATACAATAAAACTCTAAAATTAAGACTCATTTTCAGTGCATTGTTTTACAGACTACAGTTATTTCTCATACTTGCTCAATCCATAATAAAAGACATGTTATTGTCATGTAAAAAAGCAAATCATTAAATTGATGTTTTTCTTAAAAAATACCATGCCTAGACCCCAAAACTGAGGAATTGTGAATGGCCAGACCCATTACTGTCTGTCGTCATTTGAGGAAATTCTTAACTGCTGATGGCATAACACTGTCATCTTTCTTACCAATTCAGAATTTACTGGGACACATGAAAATGTACATTTTGTTTTCCTTTTTGAAACACCTGGCTTCGAGGTAAGCTAACTTGTAAATCTAAATTTTTGCTGCTGCTTGTGAGGCAGGTATATGTGTTTTCATAAGCATTCTCATGATTTAGAAAGTCAAGGCAATTGAAAATACTGTAAGTGGTTTAGAAGTTTCTTTAGCAAAGGATCAAAGAAAGCAAGCTACTTTGTAGAATTTCCCATAATGATGAAGGGAGTTGATGGGTGTATAGTGGTTTACTCTAAGAAGTTCTTGTATTATTTTATTCTTTAGTGAGTTAGCCTTCCCTAGCTGAGGGCGAGACGCCTCCTGGGGATTGATTAGTTGATAGGGGTTATTATTTTGAGGAAAGGGCTGGGGAGGCTGAAGAGTGAAGAGAGTGATGCCATGTCACAAGGAAAACTTTCTATATAGACTATCTGCTTTGTACTCTTGAGAACATCTACAGGGAACTGACTCGTCCTCAGAAGACTCAGATTTAAGCATATAGCCCAATCGCTCATTCCATTTCTAAACCTTAAATACTGCCACTCCTCATTTTCCTTTCTTGTTCACAAGTGCTGTTGACCATGAGTAACCTGGCCAAGTTTACAATGAGAGAGGTTTCCTGGGGCTTTACATGAGTATTCCTGTCAGTATTTTCATGAACCTTTGCTCTCAACACTTCTTTAATTTTTTTTTTTTTTTTTTGGTCTTTTTGAGACATGGTCTCCCTGTAACCCCAGCTGGCCTGGAACTCGCTATGTAGACCAGGCTGGACTTGAACTCACAGAAATCTGCCTGCCTCTGCCTCCTGAGTGCTGGGACTAAAGGTGTGCGCTACCATGTCCGGCTTATTTTCATTTTTTAAATTTGATTTTTAAGAAATGTCCTTTTATTTTTGGATCTTCTCTAGGATTAATGCAGAGTTTATTAGTTGGAAGCCACATTCTCTTGCTTCCTAAATTAAGACTTTTTCAGCTAATATTTTTTTTGTAAATGTTTTTTGAGTATGTAGTTTATACAGAACATCTTAATCATCTTTACCCCACCCCCCACCTTCCCATTGGCACCCTCCCATACCCCCCAGTCTCCCTGGAATTCATACATTCTGTCATTTGTGTTAAGGCCTATGGTGTCAAGTTAGTGTCCCCAGATGTCCCTCAGTTCAAGTTCATCCACTGGGGTCAGGTCTGCCTATGTAGTATACCTCTGATTTTTTTAAAGACAGTGAGGTTTACCCAAGTCACTGATAGGCTGTTAGCTTAGAAGGTTCTTGTTCCTGGATGCACTCGGATTTACACACTTACTTTTCGGTGTTTTCTGAAACTAGATTGCTTACTAAGCAAAAGCAGAAGACAAAATACATGCATCTGACAAAATCCTGCTGGCTCCTTTTCTTGCTCTGAATTTGATTTGTTCTCTACATTAATCTGTTTGGGATGGCCCTTACCTAACCTCTATTATTCCTGAAGGTTCACCTGAGGCATTACGGAGTTAGCTTGTTTATAATCTTTTGCAGTTTATGTCAAATGCTCACACTGTGTAGCAGCAGCTGTTTATTACTTTTGCTATTGTTTTCTTAATTTTTAACAGTTCTCTAGCCTTCAGAAATGAGCCTTCCCTCATTTTTGCCTATTTTACCATATCTAGTATAACCCTGTAGGTCTAAATATACTAGCAATTCTTTGTTGCTGTGGATACTGTAGAATCTGCTGAATTAAAAATCTTTCACAATAAATGCTTGTTTAGCAGTTATTCTATTGCATACCACATCATGCCAGCAGCCCGTTGAAGTTTGAATTACTTTTAATAGGAAGGAGAAGCCTTAGGGAATGGCCTGATAACCACTTTGGCATGTATTTGAGTACTAGTGAGGTTTCACCAGTTATGCCATGAAGACCTTCAGTCAGGCTCATATGCTTGGGTAACAATCTGTTGGGGAAACAAAGGACAGGTCACTTTGCAGCATCTCCTCGAAAGCCTGGGTAGTGTTTGCTGCTTTAAGACCACTCAGGCTAAGCTAGCACAGCGCTCTTCTCTGCTTCCAGCTCTACACATTTTGAAGATCTATCTAATTGTATAGAAAGGAAATAAAAGTTTGTATGTGCTTTTAGCAAAATGCTTTACTTTGTATACTTTTCTATTTATAGTGTTCTAGAATATTATTACCAGAGAACTAATGATTTATGTGTATCTCTCTCCCTGCAGGGGGGAGCTTTCATTTTTAGGTGTGAACATAGCACTTTATCCAGCTCATTTAGGTGATGATCTATATTAAAGTGTATATATCCAGTTATTTGTCATGTAACGTCCACAAATGTACAGCTTGATAATCAGTTGTATTGTTTAATTTCAAATTAGAAATGTGTATCAGAAAAATACTCTAAAACAGTAATTTAGAGGGTAAAGAAAAATATTGATCACCTTATTATTTAGCCTTGTTCATACATGTTCATCCTTCTCAGAAAGGAGTAATAATGTTTGTCTCAAATAATTTCAGGCTCTTTTACTCAAACCATTTGATTTGCAGTCACACCAGCAGTTAAAAAGCATTTGATATTAATGGTGTAGCTTAGGAGAATGAACACTTCACAGTGATTCTGGATATATCTACCAGCTTTCTTAGAGCAGTTCACTTTAAGATTCAGAGTTCTCGAGCTAAGTTCTGAAAGGAATGCACACACAAGTGCTACTTGCTTGGTTTTCTTTGGAAAGCAGTATTAACCGCAAAAGGCCATGGCTCTGTGGGGTTAGAGTGAAGGTTTTGCTCTGCATTCATTTTCTTAATCTGTATTGTGGGAGATTTGAGCATCCTGGCAGGCTCCTGGATTGTCTCATATATGTTAATTTTAATTGCACAATGCTTCTAAATACTTAAATTTGTTTGGTTATCTTATGTATTTTGGAGAAGGCAAATTTAATTGTACAATGCTTCTTCTAAATACTTAAATTTGGTTATGATGTATTTTAGAGAAGGCAAATTTCTTAAATGGATTGATGACTAAGTAGATCCTAAAACTATTAAGAAAATGAAATGTAGTTAGCCGTTTATGGTTTGTTAAAATCTTAAGCTTGATGGTGCTGTACCATTGTCCAAAGAAAATGCCCTTAAATAGCCCTACAGTACTCCTTAGAGCTTGCTTATTCTGCCTTTGTATATTTAATAAAAACTCTCAAAGACTCCTTGTGTAGTTTATGGGTTCAACCTGACTCTGTATTGTGTATCTGCCACCTCTGCCCCCAGTTTTTGGAGAAATCACAAGTTTGAGCAGAGAAAATAACTTTCCCTAGGACATTGGCATTACATGCTGTTAAGCTTAACTGGCAGAGTATATTTCAGTACTGATACTCCATGTTTCTGTTTATTGAAGAACTAATGTTTTCCTATGTACCTGATATTTAAATAATTTACTCAAACATTTTTGAATGTAGAAGCTTAGTGGATACTTAAAATGGAAATTGAGAGGTACATGCTTTGCAAATTCAATTATTAAAGGATTTAGTTATTAAATAATTTTCTCCATTTTTTTAAGCTTTATATTGGGAGGAAGCAAATGTAAGATTTACCAGTGTCTGGGGCTCAGGAGATGGCTTATTTGGTAAAAATGCTTGCTGTGCAAGCATGAGAACCTGTGTAAAAAAAGTTGGGTGTGCACTTGTGATCCCAGCACTGGGGATATGCAGAGAGGAGGATCCCAGAGGCTCATTGACCAGCCAGTCTATCCGACATGGCACGCTCCAAGCTAATGAGAGACCCTATATCAAAAAGCATGGTGGACAGCTTCTGAGGAATGACATGTGAGGTTGACACGTGAGGTTGACCTGTGGCCTCCACACACAACCACACACAGGCAGTTGCACACGCAGAAAGATTTGCTAATGTCAGTTTCAGTTACTTTAAAACTGTGTACTGTGATTTTAAAATTATTTGGTTGTAATACCAAAGTCATGAAGGCCCATCTATAACTGCAAAATTGCAATCTGTACTTAAAAATTAACTCTAGATAGAACTTTAGGGATTATTGAGTTAAAAAAAATCCTTTGGTTAAATATTTAAATACTAGTGATATGTGATTCTCCTATCCTTAGTCTTCTCATAGAATGGTAAATTCTAGATGATGTAAAAAGTGCTAGAATATCACTTTTGTATTGTGGAACGTGCTGGTACGCTGATCTCAAGTCCCCAACTACCACTCATAATTGGAGTAATATGTGAATTTCTAGTGATGCACCAGCATCGAGACAAGACTTTCAGTTATATGATTACACTGAGTTTGGAGGTGGTGAAACTCATTTGTGGAAGTGCCTCCGAGTTGGTAGTTTGCTGGCAGTGGCCAGGTGTCCTGGTTCACTTATGCGATGACTAGTAACTAGGAGCCAGGAGACTACTGCATGTGTCCTGACCCTGCAGATAAAACAGGTGGCTCTGACTGGTGGTCCTTGTTCCCAGCCAAGGACTACTCAGAGTAGCTCAAAGTTGAATTTAAAGACAAAAGTTTGACTAGCCCAGGGTGAGGTGAAGGAGTTGGAGAACCGAGATATTTAATAATGTAGCTAAGTACTTTGTAAAATTAATGTGAAAGATTAAATCCATTGTGTTTTAGGGGTGGAAAAGGATGAATGCTGTAAAAACAGATGTCTGAACCAGTGGACTCATCTTTGAAAAAGTCCCAGATGCTGAATTAACTACCTATTGGGGCCAATGCAGTGTTGGGAGGGAGTGTAGTCTAAAGCTTAAAGGGTCCCTTACAGTTCTATAAATATGCAATAGAAAAAACAGTGGAAGAATTTCAGAAGGTAGAGCTGGTGAAAGAAGTATGGGGAAGTGATGAGATGACTTGGTGAGTAAAGGTACTTCCTGCCAAGCACTGTCTTGAGTTTGATCTGGGGACCCACGCGTGGAGGGCAAGAACCCACACCTACACATTGTCCTCATCTCCACACCCCTGCTGTGGCCTACATGCGCCCCCCCATGCTAATAAAACAAGTGTGGGTGCTCATAGAAATCTTTGTACTTATTACCATATCATACGCCAGCTAGTGATTACCAGTAGTAAAATGAGGCTGAAGTGTGGTAAATGATGGTATCAAGTATTTTTCCATACTCCTTTCCCAATATCTCTAGCTAGGTAAGATAGAGCAGCCAGTGCATTTCTAGGACAACTGGGTACCAACTTTGTTGTCCCTCTGCTCTGATATAAAAGAGACACAATGAATTTTGTCAATAAAAGCTTTAGGAGTAAACACACATTTACATCCACGGTGATAACACTAGATTAAGTTATGCTAGAGAACTGAAATTTCAGACATGCTCGTATATTTGAAATCTTCGTTATCTTGACACAGATCTTGATAGTGAATCTTTTGATGATAGATACGTAGCTAATTTGTCCCGGAACTCATGAAGATAATTATATTGCTGGGGAAGGGGGGAAGACATGTTGAGGTACACTGTAGAAAACCAGTTAATAGAGCAGACCCCACACTAGCACGAATTAAAACATCCTTTGCTTACAACAGTTGTTTTTGGACACTTAGACTCAGGAAGGGGAGGAGGAGGTACTGGCAGAGCCTAGAGGGGGGAGCAGGGACCAAGTGGGGGCTGGGTAAGAAAGCTGCATACAATCTGAAAGGTTGTTGCTTTAAACGTCTACACATCTGAAGGAAGCATGAAATTCAGACGAGTGTTTTATAAGTCTATAGCATCCTTTCTTTGCTGCCAGGGCTTCTGATTAAAGTCAATCTTCTGCCAAGTAAGGAAGGGGATTTGTTTTGCTCATGTACTTTCCACACCAAGTCTGGGAGAGAAGGCATTTTCTGTAATAACTAACATAATAAAGAAAAATCTTAAATTCATGGAAGCCCTAGCTTGCAGCTGCCTGCAGTGACAGTCCATTTGAAACAATTTTCATTAAAAAAAAAAAAAAAAGCAATCACGGGGCTGGAGTGATAGCACAGCAGTTAAGAGCCTGGCAGAGGACCCAGGTTTTGTTCCCAGCACCCACATTGCAGCTAACAGCCATCCGTAACTCCAGTTCCAGGGGAATCCAACCCCTTCTGACCTCCACAGGCATTGCACTACATGGGTGCACTTACATACATGCAGGCAACACACTCATATACATAAAATATTTTTAAAAAATCTCTACACAGGCAAAATAAATGCTTTAAATAATTTAAATATTTCCTGAAGGATAGGTCTGCCAGTTATTCCCAAGACCATGAAACCCCACAGTGCTAACTTTCATGAAGAGATGATTAAGGCTTCTTAGCCACAGAAATCACAGAATGCCCAGGTGAGCCAAAGCCCATTCTAGTGTTTATTTTGAAACACTGATGGTACAAAACATGCACATTCATATATGTTTGAATGTGGAGTTTGTTTCAAAAAGATTTGAACTTCCTGAATGTGAAGTATTACAATTTTAAGATAAAAGTTCTATTTTCAGAACTTAGGTAGAGAAGTGGATCCTGTGTGGTTTGTGAATGACCTATTTTAAACGTTGATAGCCAGGTTGCCTGGTGAATTGATGAATGGTATGTAACACTGAATTAGATCCCTAACCCTGAGAAGGTTAGACTGGAAAGCACAGGCAGCTTAAGGGTGAGGAGTCAGTCTCAGGTACCCACTCTGATGACGTCCTAAAGCTGGGACAGGGTGCTTGGCACAGGAAGGCAAGTTAACTTTCCAGATACACACACAAAGTAAGATCTGCCATCTCTGGAAACATGATTTGCAGCATCTTTGCATTGCTACTGCAATGATTTGAAGTGCTGAGATAAATGTGGAAGATGTCCATTATCCTCAGCATCAGACAATGCTGCTTTGCATTTTTTATGCTGTTGATCTTTGTTCCATGTTTCAGGGACACAGCAGGATCTTTAGATTGGGCTAAAAATGGACCCAAGAAACTATGTTTAAAATAACCACCCCATTATTCCAAGTGAGAAGATCCATTCCCAGAACTGGGACCAAAGTGGAACAGTAACAGATCGACCAAAGAGGTAAAGCAGAAAGTTTGAAGTTTTGTCAATATTTTGCTTAATGTTTTGCGGGCTTTTGTAGCTATCTGGGTTATATTTCAATGTAAATTAGAAAATAGGCAGATGTGAGTAACAGCTTTGGATGTTACACTCTTGCACATTACACTCTGAAGAGGCTGTGGCTGCTACAGCAGACAGAAACAGTCCAGCTCTTACCTTGATGGTCTGTATCGCCCCAGATCCTCTGACGTCTCGCAGGCTGTCTATGGCTTGCTGTGGTGATAATGTGTCAGACAGGTATAGGAGGAGACAAGCGGCTACTAAGAGAATATGACAGAAAAAACGGATTCTTCAAAAACTGGGTTGGTTTTGTTACAAGGAGAGGCTTGATACCTAGGTTTTGTGTTACTGCAGAAGCCCCAGTTCAGGGTTGCTGTAAATGAATTAAAAGATTTGGACCCTTTAGTCTGTGCTGTGGTAAGTTAAACCAATCTTAGAGACTGTGTGGCTCAATTAAAGTTTAACATAGTTTATTCTGACTGCTTTGTTGAGATATAAATGATCTATTATGCAATTATCCATTTGGAGTACACTTTAGTGAAATTTTAGTATATTCACCACAGTCAATGTTAGAACATTTCATCACTTCAAAGAGCAATTCTGGACTCCTGCTTTGTGTCTCTCTCTAGCCTGACTCTAGATATTACAGATAAAGGAATGATGCCATGGGTGGTCTTTTGGGACCAACTTTTATTTATGCATTCAGGGTTTACACTTACTGTGCCAAGTCCTTTCTATCTTAATGCTGGATGATAATCCATTGTGTGGATAGACTACATTGTGTTTGTCCACTTGTCCAGGTATTTAGGCCATTCATATTGTTGGCAAATATAATGAATGCTGCTATAAACACTCATTTACAAGTTTTTCAATGGACATGTGTTCCATTTCTCTTGTGTACATACCTAGGAGTGGAATTTTGAATCATTCTAAGTTCATGTTTCACTGGTTGAGAAACAGACTGATTTTCCAAGGCAGCTGCACTATTTTACCTTCTCGTATGAGGGTTAGTTTCTCTGTGTCCTCAGTGAGTCTTATTTTCCAGTTTAAAAAGAACAATCATAGCCATTTTGCTGGCCAATGATGTTGAACATCTTTTCCATGTATTTATTGGCCATGTGTATATTTTGCTTTGAGAAATATTTACTCAGCTTCTTTGCTTATTTACTTTAAAATTTATTTTTATTTTGTGTGTATGAGTGTATTGCCTGCATGTATGTAAGTACATCTGTGTCATGCAGTGCCCATGGAAGTCAGAAGAGGGCACTGAATCCCCTGGAACTGGAGTTATGGACAGTGGTTAGCTGCCATGTGGGTCCTCTGCAAAAGCAGCCAGTGCTTTTAACCACTGAGCCGTATCTCCAGCCCCACTTTTATTTTTTAAATACTACTTATTATTTTTTATTTTATGTGTATGAGTATCTTCCCTGCATATATGTAAGTGCACCCATGTTGTGCAATGCCTGCAGAGGTCAGAAGAGGATGTTAGATCCCCTGGAACTGGAGTTAGAGACAGTTGTTAGCCACCAGGTAGGTGCTGGGAACTGAACCTGGGTCTCTGCAAAAACAGCCAGTGCTCTTAACCACTGAGCCATCTCCAGCCCCCTTTGCTCACTGTTTAATTGGTTTGTTTGTCCTTCTATATTTAGTTGTAGGAGTACTTTTATTACATTCCCTTATCAAATACAAGTTGTGTAATTTTTTTCCCCATTCTATGGTTGGTCTTTAAAAAAAATTATGTGTATGAGTGTTTTGCCCACAGTAAATGCACCTGTGTGGTACAATGCCCACAGTGGCCAGAAGAAGATGTTAGATCCCTTGAACTGAAGTTATGGGCAGGAGTTAGCCATCATGTTGGGTCCTGGGAACTGAACCTGGGTCTTCTGTACAAGCAGCAAATACTCTTAACCACTGAGCCATCTCTCTAGCCACCTATGCATAGTCTTGTCATTTTTATCGTGTCCTTTGAAATACAAAGTTGTTAATTTTGATCCTGTTTAACACTAACAATAACTTACTCTAGTGAGTCACAAATTTTTTTGGCATCACATTTTTTTAAATTACTTTGATTTTATGTGTATGCATGTATTGCCTGCATGTAGGTAAGTGAACCTGTGTCATTAACCAGAGAACTGTTTTGTTTTTTTTATGTGATTTTGGTTTGGTGTTTTGAGGGAGGGTCTCATAGTCCAAGTTGGCCTTGAACTCACCATAGAGCCAGGGATGACCTTGAACTCCTGATCCTCCTGCCTCTCTGGAGTGCTGGGATTATAGGCGTGTCCCTTAACTTTGGTTATTATATTTGTGCTACTTAGAGATATTTCTTAGAACTTTCTGTCAGTATCATTAATACCTCTATTGGAAGAACATTAGAAAAAATAATCAGATGCTAAGACTAGAATGAAGTTTGATAGGATTCTCCTAAACCAAGCTCGAAATAGCTATTTATTTCTACCCAATTTTTCTAGGGAACACCAAGGTTAAGGCCTTAAATAATCAGTTCTCTGAATCATAGTAAACTTATATTGTGCTTTGTCCCCTTTAAATATGAAATATGGTTCAATACCAGGAGTTTGCCTATTTTAAAGTTACAAAAAACTAATAATGAAAATACATTTCTTACCAAGACAAGATCTTCCAAGTCCTCCATAACAGCTGAAAGGGAAATAGAGTCTTGATGTTTGTACATTTTCAATCTATCCCAAGTTACAACTAAAGACATGCTCTTTCTTGCCTATTGTTCATCACTACCAGCACAGCACCTTGCAAGCTGTACCAAGATACCATTGCTGAGTTAATCACCCACAAGCAAGGCATGCTCACTACTCATGTTGGGGGGATGTTCTGAATAGTCTAAATGTCAAACTAGCAGGAACTTCATATTGATAGCTAAACCCCAAGATTTACGTCTGAGGAATGGAGAATTAAACAGATAGGAAACAGACTATTTTGCCTTTTATATGAAATGAGTGGCCATGGAACAGGTGCCAACCACACAGTAACCCTTCATTTAGCTCAGGAGCATACACGGCGGTAGCAGATCCTAGAGCAGCGGTTAGAGCGGGGCTCTGTCCTCTACTTGATGTGTGAAGCTAAGCAAGGTCTTCAGGCTCCGTGGGCCTCTACCATTTTACCTTAAAATGGTAAAAATGGTGCCTACAGCAGAGCAAGGGTTAAATAAGGAAGCATTTGTAAAGGGATGAGAACTCAGGTTGGCACAGTAAGAAACAAATGTGCTACATTTAGCATAGCAGAGGTTCCGAGAATCCTTCAAGAGGGATGGCACAGCATGAAGGAAAGATTCAGAACTTAGAATCTCAGAGTGGGGTACCAGGAGGCTCTCCACTGAGTAGGCCACAAGCTCCTGTACCACTCTAAATTTATTGCTTTAACCTGTGTAAGCAGAGCAAACGATACAGCTTTTCCTTGGTGCAGTCTTTAGACAACTTCTTCAAGACCTCTAGGTATGTTACTTTGAAGCAAGGAATCTGTTTACCTCAATGAAAACTAGCTAAGCATAACATGGCATCATGACCAGTGGTCAGGGTGTTATTTCCTTGTATAATTTGGGGAGGGGGCACTGTGTTTCTTTGCCTCAGCACACATGCCGGTGCACCTCTTGCCACATACTCATTCTTAACTGGAGGTGCTATTGTGCATGGTCAAGCATGCTTTGCAGAGTTTCAGTAAAACAGTATCTCCAGCATCAGGTAAATCAGTGGTCTCCAACACAAATGAATGTTAGCAGAAACAGCAGCACTGTGGAGGAATGAACAGTTCTGTGAAAGTATTTTCCAAAAAAATGAAGATCAACCTCAAACTTGGAAAACAACTACTTTAATCATTTTCAACAATCCTAAAAAGTGTATTACAGGGAAACAAGGAAAACCTTCTAGCCATCAAATGCTTTATTTTAGGGGACCCTGAAAGAGTCTACCAATGCAAGATCACCTATCCACCTGACTTGTTTGTCCCTTTTGTTTAAATCTCTTTTTAAAAAGAAATAAATGTGTGTATTTCTGTCTCTGTGTGGGTATGTGCATGAGAGTAGGTACCCTCAAAGTCCAGAAGAGTGTGTCAGATCCCCTGGAGCTGGAGCTACACAGGCAGTTGAGAGCTGCGTGACACGCATGCTGGGAACTGAACTTGGGTCCTCTCCAAGAGCAGTGCGTGCTCTTAACCGCTAAGCCATCTCTCCAGCCCTTTCTCTGTTTAAACACTAGGTGGGCATTTTGGTTGCCAGAAACTGCTGGGGTAGAATTTGCTAAGCCTCACAAAACTCAACTACTTTGATTTCTGGAAACTACAAGTTGCTTTAAAATTTTAAAAAGAAAAAAAAAAGTTTTTGAGAATTGGTTTGAAAAAATGAGCCCCCAAATTGGAAAATATTTTTTAGTAGCTGGGGCTGATGCTCTTTTGCCTGCAGGTAAAAAGAAATTACAGATAACTGTCTATCTGAAAATTTACCTTTACAATTAGAATGAGATGAGACCATACTTCCTAGAGAACATTTGCAAACTGTAGGATGTCAGATGGTTTCCTGTTCTGTTACCTACTGTTAAGTGCTGCTAGCCACAGTTCTCCGGATTATCTAGTTTGGCCTGTTTTGTTGCCAGAGACTCATGAGTGGATTTGCCTTCCGAATTTGCACTGTGGGCATGAGGTCCAGGCTGCAGATTTGAGGAGTGAAGTTGGCTGGCTTTGCCCTTTCAGCATGCATCCTGAGATTAGATGGCTGTGTGGTTTGTGCACCTCTAGCTCAAAGTAGTGGTCTGTGGTACTATGTGTTTTTGAGGTAACAAACTATTCAATTCTCTACTGTGCCCGTGAAAAGAAATGGCTCATTAGAATATAAAACATGCAGTAAGCAGTGAAGGACTAGTTTGCTTGTTGTGACTGATATCCCTATCCTCTGTGTCTAACTTCCAGCAAACATCTATTGTTTATTATCCATCATGGCACTGCCCATCACCACTCTATTCCACCCTTCTCTAAGCTAGTTTTAATTTTCCTTCCTTCCTCTAACCAAGTTTGTTTTAAATATTCTTATAAGAAACTTGTATATTTATAGCTACTCACAGAATCCTATTTCATTCTGGTAACAAATTCATATCATCAAATGTAATTTTCCAAAAGAACAACTGCCTTCATTGCTACTGAAAGCAACTGATAGGATGAGATAACAAAAGAGTGAGATGCTGTAAAGCCAGGATGATGCCACACATTCTGACAGTGGAGACGAAAGAAAGAAAGAAAGAGAGAGAGAGAGAGAGAGAGAGAGAGAGAGAAAGAAAGAAGAAAGAGAGGGAGGGAGGAAGGAAGGAAGGAAGGAAGGAAGGGAAATGCTTATAATCTTATTCTAAAAATTTGCAGATCTACTAATTCTCCTTACTCTTGAAATGTGGTAACAGTAAAACCTGAGAAACCATTTGACTGGCACACTTCCTGTGTGGTGTCTGGGGAAAGAGGCGAACGTACTGTATCAAGGTTTTCCGGTTGTTTTTGAGGCAGATGGCCAGCTCCTCCATGATTTCCCAGCAGCTGCCTATGTCGGGAGTCCCTCCGTCTGGGATTGGGTGATGATGAGTGACAATTCCAGATTGTTGGTAGAGGTCCAGAAGGTTTGGGACTCTATATTTTGACAGCTCCCCTCTGGTGCAGAAAACAAATATGTCTTGGATCCCGTAGCTCTTTAGTTCCTCTGCCAACAGATCAGGACACACAGAGACACACACGTACAGAACAGGACTTTTTAAATATGGCCAAGCAGGAGAATGTGGAGTTAATTTCTTCAACTAAATAGTAATAAATGAGAGTTTGTAAGTCTGAGATGTCCACTGATAACATCTGCAATTAGAATTAAATCTGATTGATTTATAAGTCAAAATGCTCTTTAGTGAATTTCAAGATGAGCAGATCACATTGGTGTTCTTGCATATAAAAAGCGTTTTGGGGTTTTCTTGTAGTAAATACTGCTTTGAAATAAATTTAGTATCTAATACTTAAACTCTTAGCTGGGTGTGGTAGCACATGCCTTTAATCCCAGCACTTGGGAGGCAGAGGCAGGCAAGTTTCTGTGAGATCAAGGCTGGCCTAGTCTACATAGGGAATTTCAGGCCAGCTGAGGCTACAGAGAAACCCTGTTTCAAAAAGACCAAGGGGGAAAACTGAGAAGGAATGATAGCACACTTTTTAGTTTTTCTCATGAAATCAACCTTTTCTGAAAGACAGGGTCTCACTATGTGGCCCTGCTGATCTGAAACTTTCTATGTGGCTCAGGTTGGCATCAAACTCACAGAGCTCCTCCTGCCTCTGCCTCCATAATGATTGGGATCCCAAGCATATGGGCGTGTGCCACCATGCCCAACTAAGACCAACCCTATTTACTACTTTATCACTTTGCTATTTTAGTGCAACATAAAACAAGCTCCAGCCAGAGCTCCTGTATTCTTCCTCCTTTCTGCACTGCACAGCACACACCATCACACCTTTACTTTCACAGACTCTGTAGGTATTAAACCTATGTGGATTAGTTGTTTTCATTACACTGGATTGAACCAAGAAATAATTCTATAGGATATTGTATTGTAACTGTTTTAGATATTAGTTTTAATTATATGTGTAGGTTTGTGTGTGGGTATGTGCATATGAATGGGGTGCCTGTGGTGGCCAGAAGAGGACATTGGATCCCCTGGAGCTGGAGTTACAGGTAGTTGTGAGCCACCCCATATGGGTGCTGAATTCTCATTTTCTGCAAAGACAGTATGTGCTCTTAACCACAGAGCCATTTCTCCAGACACTGGAACTTCTATATAGTAATTTTCATTCTGGATTATTTGGTTCAAAATAAATAATTCTGGCTGATCTAAGTCCCAGTCCCTGGACATTTATCTAGCAGTCCAGTGCCTTTGCAGTTGAGCAGTAGCTAGTCCAAATTGAGACGTTCTGACATACACTCGATTTCAAAGACAAAGAGCACAAAGATGGAAGTGATCTCATTAACAACTTGCTGGATCATATATGTTCTTTCATGTGGAGAGATGATTTAAATATATAACTAGGATATGAAAGTAGAACAGAGACTATGTATATTAAAAAACAAAACAAAACATGAAAACAGAAGGGGAATGATCTAGGGAAGGAAGGGGACCAGTGTTTGCGTGGGAACAAGGGAGGGTGATGAGGTGAACATGAGAAAATACAAAGATATATATGTGTGAAAATGTCTTAGGGCTGGAGAGATGGCTCAGCGGTTAAAAACACTGACTGTTCTTGCAGAAGACCCGGGTTCAAATCCCAGCACCCACATGGCAGCTAACAACTGTCCGTAACTCCAGTTCCAGGGGATCCGACATCCTCTTCTGTCCTCTGCGGGCATTACATGACACAGGTGCACTTACCTACATGCAGGTGTAACACTCATACATAAAATAAAAATAATAAAATATTTTTTAAAATGTCAATAAACCCCATTGTTCTCAAAATTAATAAAAAGTAAAACTGATAATTTGCTTTATACTTGAAAGCTAGGATATATTGGATTAAATAAAATTCATTATTAAAATTGTACATTTTCTTCTTCTTCTTTTTTTTGGTCTTTTTGAGACAGGGTCTCCCTGTAGCTCCAGCTGTCCTGGAACTCACTATGTAGACCAGGCATGTTCTTTTTTTAATATTTTGTTATTTTTATTTTATGTGCATGACTATTGCCTGCATGTAAGTGCACCCGAATCATGCAGTGCCTGCAGAGATCAGAAGAGGGCATTGGATCCCCTGGAACTGGAGTTATGGACAGTTGTTAGCTGCCATGTGGGTGCTGGGTACTGAAAACCTGGGTCCTCTGTAAGAGCTGCCATTGCTTTTAATAGCTGAGCTATCTCTTCAGCCCTTACATCTTTTTTAATGAAGCACGTAGAAAATGTAATTACATATATAGCTTCCATTTGAGGGTACTACTACATTTCTATTGGATGTTTTCGTTTTTAATATTTTATGCCTATTTTATGTGTATAAGTGTTTTACTTGCACGTATGTAAGTGCATCACAGGCATGCATTACCTAGGGAGGCCAGAAGATGGTGTCAGATCCCCTGGAACGGGAGTTACAAATGGTTGTTAGATGCCATGAGGGTGCTGGGAACCAAGCTAAGGTCCTCTGCAAGAGCAGCCAGTGCTCTTAACCACAGAGCCATCTCTCCAGCCTTATTTTTGTTTTTTAAGCCAGAGTCTTGCTGTATAACCCAAGCTGGCCTGGAACTTGATATCATCCTGCCTCAGTTTCCCAAATGCTGGGATTTCAGACATACACCACCATACCGTGCTTGGACAGTCTGGTCTTGATAAACCTATTATATTTTTGTAACTGTAAAAGGACTTAAGCTGTAGTTAATAAACCTAATCATTTTTACAAGGGGGTAATTTTCTATTTCTTTTGTACACACTGGATAATTTCTAATATGATGGTTTTCAGATTTTCATGGAGAGGACTCTGAGGACATATCACAGGGGCTTTTGTAGGCAGGTTCTAGGTCTTGCCATCAAATGTTTTCATCTGTTTTATAAAATGGATTCCATGTGCAATTTTATTGCAAAAAATATTCATGAAAACATTGGAAAGTTCCTTTTACAAAAAAGCATTAAATGAACAGGGAACTCCAAAATGTGGAAGATTAGTTTTGAACCAGTGATTTAAATCACATTTTGTTTACAATTTACATGTTCCCCAAATGGAAATTTCCTACCATTGTATGTATGCCTAAAGCAGAAAATGTTTATAAGTATTGCAAATGACAACTTGGTATTAGTCTCTTTGTTTTTGTGACTGGTGGTACATTAACCAGCTGATGGTCCAGAGCTACTAGAACAAAGTTAAGATTTTAAAAAATCTGTAGTTAGCTGGGTGGTGCACACCTTTAGTCCCAGCATGCAGGAGGCAGAGGCAGGTAGATTGCTGTGAGTTCTGTGAGTTCAAGGCCAGCCTGGTCTACATAGTTCAGGTCAGCTGGGACTACAGCTCCCGTCTCAAAAAG